TGTATCTATTTCTCATGTGTATATGTGTACAAACACACACAGACACAGAGTCTGTTTTTCACATTTATTTTTTGAATGAAACCCACATAAAACTGTGTTTCAGTTTAGTCTTATCTTCTTGGAAAAGCAAAATTATACTGAATTGTTTTAATCTTTGGCTGTTAGTACTATTTTCCCCATCCTTTGGTTTTATGTATTTCTATTTTATTGTTTTTACCTCTATTTGCTCAGCTTTATGTGTACATTATAAGCAAATGCAAATCTTTTGGAAGTTGCAAGGTAATCAATAACTTTGCAGACTCATTTTGAATCTACAGCAGTGATGCGTACACCCCACAGATTTGTTTGTAGATGAAGAAACGGAGCATGAAAGGTCCCCTAATGGGCACACACTCACACAGACAGCTAATAGGGCAGGAGGGTCCTCATTCCCCATCTACACAGACTGCGCCTTCCCGTTTCTTGCCACACTTACTCTTACAGCAGGATGCAAGTCAAACACTCGCCACTGCCTCCCACAATGCCTGAAACTCAGTCTTTGTGTAGTTACCGTCCTTTGAGTCTTGGAGGCTTTCTCTCTCTGCAGAGGCCACCCTAAACCTCTGTAGGCTGAGGATTTGTGGTGCCAGAAGCTCTGGTGTTCAGGGGGGCACAGAGAAGAAAAAGGTATTGAAAGATATAGGAAGACAGGAAGGAGGTAGAAAAATGCCAGAAAAGATGAAAAGTCCCCTTACCTGTATAAGCATTGGGGAAAAAATAGTGTTCCTTTATCCCAAGGGAGATGCTGTCAAATAGAGCAGCTCCCACAGTACTCCCTCTAGAATCAGCCTGTTCAGACGGAGGCTCTCCATACAGGTTGGTCTCTGTCTCCTCACTTTACACAGGGGGGCCCCAGGGAGTTGAGAGGGCAGGAGGCAGTTGGGGGCCCCCGTGGAGAGTGCTGAGACCCGGACCTCAGTGGCCACACCTGTGCAGAGATATGACTGACAGTGCAGCCTGAGCAGGTGCAGCGCATGGACCTCCAGCCCCTCCTGCTGCCCCAGGACCCGATAGAGGCTGAGCTGCATTGAAGTGCCCAGGTCTACAAGCAATGGTATGTGAGAGGTCTTTAAGCTTTTAAATATGCTTTTGGAAGCCTGCCTTTACGGTCCCTCCTCGCTCAGACCCAGGACCCCTAGGAGATCCCCAACTGCCTTCCTGTTCCTGAGCCTTGGAGGGGAGGGCACCTAAGCTCGGGAGCATCCCTTAGGTGCCACCATGGGCAAGGCCGTGACTCTCACTGTGGCAGGATGAGCCCATCTGGACCATTTTCTGTGCTCAGATCCAATCATCAGATTTGCAGAGAATGCTTAAGAAAGGCTACTGAATTTTGAATTTCCATAGTTCATCTAACTTTTGTCTTAGAATCATCTTTAACTAAAAGAGAAAATAAATAGCTGTGGCTTTAAAATGCTCCCGTTTGATATTTAGCTTTTAGATATTTCTTACAGAACTGGTGCTGAAAATGACTGGCTGCTGAATGTTCAGATAACTGTCATCAAGACGCCTCTGCGTCCAAGTCTAAGGGGTGTACCATGGCCTGAATGTGAAGCCTTTGCTCACATTTCCAGTTGTAGTTGTGTCCTTTTTGGTGCGTTCTCCTCTCATGTGTTTCTGATAATGGTGGGTTCATTTTTTCAAGGAGGGATAATGTAAGAAATTTCATTTTCAATTCCAAAAGAATCCTTGAAGATACCTGTTCCCTGTGAACAGATGTCCTCGAACTGATATCCCCTGAAATCTTTAAAGATTTAAACCCAAATCAACCTCATTCATAACATTTTGAGTAATTAGATGCACTTTTTTTTCAGTAAAGAGAGGAAATGCCTACAGTAGAGGCTTAGCAGATGTGCACAAGCCTCAGTTCTGAACTACGAGACCCACCTTAGGTGTCTACGGAAAGGCACAGATCCTTGGCCCCTGCACCGGAAGTCCCGAGTAAGAGCTTCTGGAGAAAGAGTCGTGGAATTTGTGTGTATGACACTCTAGTGAGCTGCTAGGTTTGCAGATCACTAGCATAGAGTCAGTAACAATAATCCAACTAAGAAATCATCTGCCCGTTTGTATGTATCTGAAAACATAGAGATATCACATGAGGAGAAAATGAAATAGACCATGTTTTCCCAGCATTCTATTCAAATACGTTCATGTACTTGAATACGAATATTTAAAAAATATGTGACCCTGAGAACATAAAAATAGCATTTCATTAAGCACCTATGGTAATTAGTAACTTTGCTATACATTTGTGTATTTTTAAATACACTTACATTTTTTTACCTTTTTAGGGAGTCCCTCCAGAGTAAGGGCAATTCTTCAAAGCCAGTGCATAAACATATAACATAAAGCTGAATAGCCTATATTATAAATTATAACAAAATAATTAAGGAGAAGGCTTAGAATTATAGCCTTAAGGTTCTTTTCTCTTCTATTACACACCTTATTTAAGATAGAAAAGAAGAGAAAAGTAGATTTACTTTCTTTCACATATTTGTTTATTACAGGCATTGGAGATGCAGCAGAAACAGGGTAGAAATAATTCCCATGTCAAAAGCATGCATCTTTTAAAAAGTTAATAATAAATTAGAAAGATACCTGTAGTGGCAAAAGTTATGGGGGGGGGACAGCAGGAAGGCTATGCTTAGCCAGGTGACTGCTTCAGACGGGATGGCCAGGAGAGACATTTAAAAATTGGCATTTTAATAAAATCTGCAGGGCAAGAAGGAGCCAGCTGGGCAAATATTAACTGTGGGGGCAGATCCAGCACAGGGAAGAACACAGGTGTGAAGGAGCAGAGGTGTGCATGGCTGGAGTGTCCAGGACCACGGTGAGAAGGACACCATGTAAGGCTGACCACAGGGCGCACTGAAGCCCAGAGACCGAGTCAGATTGCACTTGCGTCCAGCGTGACGGGAAGCGAGTGGGGGTGTTTAGGAGAAGGGATCACAGGGTCAGGTTTACAGGCTAGAAACGACCACTGCGGTTGACTTGTGAACAGTAGGAAGGTCCGATGTGGCCTAGAGGAGAGCCCTGTTGGGAAAATGCACTTGCCAGGTAGAGACCGTGGCTTGGACTGGGGTGGTGACAGTGGGGAGAGTGCAGGGATGGGGTTCAGACAAGTCTTGCAGGGCTGCTGACAGAGCTAGGTGATGGTTTTATTTGAGTGGTGAAGGAATGAGATGGATAAAATATAGTTGTGTGTTTGTGTATGTGTGTGCACCTGTGTGTAGTATTACTGTAACGCAGGGTAAAGGTTTTTTATGTATTTGTTTTCTTTCAGAACTTACATATGCAAATAAGGCTTGTGTCCTTTAGAGTGAAAAAAAAAAGACTTCTGACAGTTTCCAGTTTCCCCAAGCAACTCTGACAAATACAGTGGTTTTCACATTAAAATATATAATAGCTCTAATATTGTTCTTACCAAGCTCAGAAATTTAAAATTATTTGAAAAAAATTACATATATTTTTCAAGTATATGGTATGTTCATTTATCTACTTCTGCTGAAATGGTGGTGTGCAAGTTAGAATTTTATTAAGAACGTGTAGGTCTTCCCTTTGTTTTCACAAATTCACTTTCAAATAATTCTAATTTATGACTTAGAGCAAAAGAAAAGCTCCTTCAAATATATATCAAGGAAAATTATGTAAGCATATGACTTTCTTTATGTTCTTCTATTGATTCCATCAAATATATTGGTGGGTAGGAATGATTCACAATTAAGACCAAAATTTGGCATTAGTCCCTCTAAAATGAAAAATACTGTCATCTTAAAAATATACATATTCTGTGTATGTAGGTGTGCATTTTCAAATTGACGGGCAGTTGGGGAGAATGAAGGGACCAACTGGTAATTTACTCTGCAGGAATCATCTGTCTCTGTGAGTCATGGAGGGCAGGTGGTCCACAGTGTGGGAGGGAACTTTGCACCCCAAACAATGGTAATGATGGCTCATCGGGGAGACCATAGGGGCAGCTCCTCCACACTGGGAGCTTTAGCCACATGGCACTCTGTTAAAAGGTTAAAAAAGCATACGAAGTGGAAAGAATGCATCAGCCTTACATTTACCAAAAATACTGGGTGTTCAAGCACGCACTGGGCACTCCCAGGGCACATTTTAAGTGACTATAAGTAACAATTATACACCACTGGGTGTAAACTGGTTGTGCATCACTGCAGAGATTTGGAGAGATTGAGTTGCTTCAGCAGCATTTCTTGTTGTTCACTTTATCTTTCTAATTTTTAGCATATAGGAAAAGATATTTCAGAAATAGTGGCATCACCTGGGACAGTTGGAAACGTGCCTTTGTTTATATCCCATAATTGTAAACATTTCTATTATGCTTGTCACAAAAACTGAATATAATAGTGTCTGTTTGCATGACTTGTTAACATGGATATGCTTATGAGACTAACCCATTTTAAGTGATGTTCTTTTTAATTCTCTTAAATTATATGCAGTGATAATCTAAAAATTCAAGTGCATATGTTTATCACAATGGGAAAAAGATAAATCTCCTTGCAATTCATAAGAAAATACATGCATTTCCATGGGTTTTGGTTTGGGGGGACCGATATCTTTTTGCGGTAGAAAGCATGTAAGATTTAGTCTAACAAAATGGGATTTTGAGTTCTTGCTCTTCGTGTATCTAGCATATTGTAGGTATAAAAATGAAACATTGTAATCAAGTTTAATGTGTGTCTACATAGATGCTGAGTTAACTAGGAGAGAAAATGCTATTTTGAAGAAAAAGAAGAAAGTTTGCTTCTAAGAGAAGAGAATATTCATTCCAGAATCAGGTGACTTACTTGAAGAAAATGGCTTGCAAAGTCTTTTTATTTGAGAATTTGAGAAGATGAAGCCTTTCTAGGGTCTGGTTTAGGTCTCTATTGAATGACATAACTTTTCTGTTATACAACATAGGGCTGTATGTGCCCATCTCGATTTCAGGTGTCATTCTCCATGGAGAAGGTGAGAGACTGAAGTCGAAGAAGATCTGATACAGAACGGGAGCTCCTGTCCCGCCGTGGCAGCTGGGTGTCCTGAAGACCGTCTAGGCAAAAAGAATTTCACATGCCAGAGACGACCAAGCAACTTTGGTAAATCTGATATGGATATTCAACATTTTACATGGACTTGTATTTTTTAGAGCAGTTTTAGGAAAGAAGGAAGTAGAGATTTCCTGTATACTCCCTGCCCTGCACACACAGAGCCTCCCCATTGTCAGCATCCCTGCCAGAGTGGGACATGTGCCATGATGTGTGATCCTACATTAATACATCACACTCACTGAAAGCCCATAGTTTATATGTGGCTCACTTTCAGTGTTGTAGGTACTGTGAGTTTGGGCAAATGTATAATAACATGTATCCACCATTGTAGTATCAGAATAATTGCACTCAAATGCCCCTGTCCTTCACCTCTCAATCTTCCCTCTGAAGATCCCCCCCTCAGTCCTTGAAAACTACTGATCTTTTTACTGTCTCCATAGTTTTGCCCTTTCCAGAATGTCATATAGTTAGAACCATACAGTATGTAGCCTTTTCATACTGACTTCTTTCCCTTCATAATTATGCATTTAAGATTCCTCTGTGTCTTCTCATGTCTTGACTGATAGCTCATTTCTTTTTAGCCTGAAAAATAATCCCTTGTCTGAATGGACCACAGTTGGTTGCCCCCAAGTTCTGGCAATTATGAATAAAGCTGCTACTAACATCCACATACAGGTTCTTGTGGGCACCTAAGTTTTCAACTCCATTGGGCTGAGTATCAAGGAGCATGATTTTCAGATCATAGGGTAAGAGTCGGTTTAGTTTTGTAAGAGGCTGCCAAACTGTCTTCAAAAATAGCTTCCAAAGTGGTACGATTTTGTGTACCCACCAGCAGCACAGCTTTCAGTTTCAACTTTCTTTCCTCTGTGGCTTGTACTGTAGAGCATCCCCACCAATCTGACCATCAGCAAACATCCCCCTATGTCTGTGGCCTTGTGCTAGTGTCGGTGTTGTGGAATTCAGGAAGGGAGGCAGTGATCAGCATGAGTCAGAGCCGCACAGAAGAAAATGTTACCCACAGGAGAGAAAGATAAGAAAGAAGCAGTGGTTCAGTGGAAGCAAGAAATAAGAGCTAATGGGGTTCAAGGGAAACATCAACTCCCTGGGGAACAGCAGAGACATTTCATGGATTGGATTTTGCTGGGTGTGAGCTCAAATAATCTTAATTGAATTTTAAAGACAGATAGACCCTTCCTCATTTCTCATATCTCTCTCCAGTTGACATGCATGCCCAGTAAGGTTTGATTAGCAAAGCTTTGCCCACATGACTAATCTTTACGTTTTCTTTACTAGTGAATTTCTCACATTTGTTCAAAAGTACTTGGGCAAAGCAGAGGCTTTCTCACATTCCTTACATTTATATGGTGTCTCTCTCTCTCTCATGTGTTCCTATACAGAAAGCAAGTTCTTATATGTAGACCAAGTTTTGGAAACTCGCTCACAGATTTCCTACAGTCGCTCCATTCATAAGGCTTCTCTCTGCTCTGAGCTCTTGTATGAGGAACAAAGAAAAGGTCTCCTCACCTCCTTTATATACATAGTGAACCCTTCCACTGTCACAGCTGACACGTGCCCTAAAGGATGAAAGGCAGCCAAGGGGTTCCCACAATCCTTACATTTCTAGTGTTCCTATCCACTGAGACTTCTTTCAGGAGTCCTCAGATATGAGGGACAATTGCAGTTTGTCCACATTTCTCATAATACTGGGAGCTGTGTCCAGGTGAGACCTGCTGTAACTCCGGGATAATCTCGGAGGGGTTTCACACTGTAGTCATAGGGTTTCATGCAAGTGGGACTGCCTTTCAGCACAGCAGGATCTGAACTGGCTGGCGGCTGCCCTGCACCGATGATCCTTGCTTCCGCAGCTCCCACCACTCACCACTTCTCAAACGCCTCTCCTGTTAGATGAACTTCAATGCCAAAGCCACCCAAATTCTCTTGAGTGGTGGATTAGGAAGCTTCCTTGTGATTTTCCTCCCATCTTCTGTTTATCAGAACTTTTTTCTCCGTGAGAATGTTTCTGAGCAACTTACTCATTGGTTTTGAGTCTCACAGTCTTTTGGGGCCAGGTTGCTGGAATTTTTGAATGTCTCATTTCTGTACAGGTTGCTTTGGTAACAATGTAGCAAAGCCCATTCTTCCTGGGGAGTGTCCATGGCCACATCCTCATAGGGACCCTAAGGTCCATGAGCACAGCACATGTGAGATGGCCTGGGCTTTGTGGGTGATGCCTGAGTGCGACTGAGAGAAGACACCCTCCAACAAGCTCTCCAAAGGAGAAACTCGCCCCCAAGAGGTGCTGCTGGGTCATCCCTCCCTAGTGAAGGGACATATTTCCTGGTTCAAACACCTGGAGTTCTCTGGGGACATTGGCAGTTCCATCCAAAAGGCCGTTGAAGGACAAAGAGCTAAAAGGGGTGGAAGCAGGGCCATCCCAAGAACACGTGCAGCAGAAGAAAAGTGCTTGGGTCCTAAAGGCGGGAGGAAGGTGGTGGGTGCCTCCTTTTGCTTGTCATCTATACCAAAGGGGGCGTGTGACAGAGCCTCTGTTCCGCCTGTCACTTCCTGGCCGTGAAAGGGGCTGAAAACACCTCGCAGCTTCTCAATCCCTGGGAGATATCCCAGAAGAAAAGTGCCCCGAAGTGACACTCTGCCCTCCTGAGTTCTGGCCCTTTCTCAGTCTCTGCCCTACCAGACTCATGCTATCATTAACCCACAGTGTCTTCAAGCAGTTTTTAAATATTTTGTTTAGGTGTTTTCAGTTGTCTTCATTTTACAGTTAGTTGGAAAAAGCTAGCGAACCTAATTTGGGGTTGACTAGTGCAGGAAGGCATCCAAATGACTTGCTCATTGGAGGAATTTGGTCAATTCCACATAACAAAAAACAACAGATTATTTTGACTCAGACCTAGGGACATTTTGCTGTCTGCACCACACATTGCAGATTAAACTGTCCTTCAGTGGTTCGAGCATCATGTCTTTCTCACTACTCTAATGGTGCGGTCATAAACAACGTCTCCTCTGGACTGGATACACATTGTTATAGCCTTTGTGTTCACATGTCTAGTTTAATTTTTTTAAATAATATTGGCAGTATCTCATGAACAATTGCCTTATTTTAACTACTATTGTCCTTTATATATCCCAAATGAACTATTTGATTTTTTTTCCAACTGATGCTTGATGTTTTCTTAAATTGTGTTCTTTTTGTCTCAACATTACTTTTCCTTTCCCTGTTCCTGATTTCTAGTGGAACATTATTGCATGTCTTTGACAATTTTGCTTAATATTTCATCTGATCATTTCATTCAAGAACTCAGAGTTTCCCCTTGATATTGCATTGGTTGTCCCAAGAGTGGCATGCTTCCATTTATACAGCAGCAAAACCCCATTTGCAAGGAGCTTTTTGAGCTGGATCCCCCACCCCGCCATCTCCCCCTTTTTGTCTAAGCAGGGCATTTTAGACTTTACCTGCTTGTCTCCACACTAAGCACAAATCCCTATGCTTATTCGTACTGTTACTCCAATGTTAAACCACATCATTGTTGAGCCCAGACTTTATTCATGTTTTCATTCTTTCAAGTATCCTAGACCCTGTACTTTGGCTGGACTGTGATGCCCCAGAAAACAAGGACTAAGTCCATTTCATAGAATTCATATTTCTTCCTTGCATAAGAAAAGATTCATCTTTGTGAATGGTGACAACTACCTTACTACATGTCTCATTCCTCAACTATGTTACAGTTTTCTTTCTTTGACCTGTGTTTTCTAAAGGATTCTATTTACCCTCTGCATTTGTGAGCAACTGGAAACAGAATGTAATTCAACTCTATATGGAGTGCTTTGAGTTGTTTCTTTTTGGCTGGATTTTTTAAACGGAGGGTGTCATGGCGGGAAATTATTTTGGAAATACAGAACACATTTGCATCCATATTGTATTTTGTGCCAAGGATTTAGGAAGGTCAAAGACTCTCACTGAATTCATATAATAGATAGAGGTCATTCTTCTCTGCAGACAAAAATCCTTGATGATATTTATTCATGAACTGGGACAATCTCAACAGTAAAATAATTCATTGCCCAAAATATCTTTGCTGAAAAGTTCAGATAACAAGATGGTGGTTATGCTGTCTTACATCCTTTCAAAATATGCTGTAGTCAACAGATTATAAGTCAGTGGTGAAAAAAGTGCTTGATACTCAGTATAAACATAAGACGATCATAACTGCATATCTGCTGTACACAGAATTCAAAAGCATAAGGTGACAGAAAAAAAAAAGTATTTTCCCTAGTACCAGTCATATTTTGTGCTAAAAACAAGTGTCCCTGACTTTAACTCTAACTCAATAATTCAGTTGTCTAAGAAAGTTCTAGACATATGGTCTTATCAAAAAAGTAGTTGTTGGTACATCAAGATATGATGGAGGCTCTTCTATATCATAAAATTCAGTAATTTAATTCAAAGTTATTTAAAATTAAATGCAAATCTACCAAGTCTTTTGCTTTATTTTGCTAAACGAGATGAAATGTTACCTACCAATTGAAGAGCTCCAAATAGCTACTAACTAGCTCCCGAGTAATATTTGTATCTACCTTACAGCGTATCTATGTTACACTCCATCCTTCATGCCCTTTCTGCTGCTCATATGGTACTGAGTTGGGTTTTAGAAATATTTGGGCCTCAAAATTGGGACATATAATTATAACAATTATAGTTATCTGATAAATACAATTGAGCATAACAGGTCACATTCCTTCTTTACAATTTTTGGTACAGGGGGAAAAGAATTTTCACATGTTTGAGGGATATGGTAAGTAGGAATCATCATTTCAGCCAGATATCTGCTTAGACAAAACTGTAAAGCAGTCATATAAAAGTTCAACATACCATTTTAGAACAAATATACTTTGGTCTACAGAAGTTTATGTAAATTAAATGTAAACTGCAGGTGGAATAATTCAGGGTAGGGATATTTGTGTCTCTGCTCCATCATGCCGCAGGGTCTTTGCACGTGCTTATCTTGCCATGGAATGTACTCCTTCCTTACCACAACCTCCTATCATTCATTTGCATCTGTTACCCTCACCACATCCTTCAGTTCCAGCTCGATGTCAGTTTCTCCGGGAAGCCTTTCTCCCTATGCCTGCACCAATTTATGTCCCCTGCCTTCATTTGAATCCTTCTTATTTAAATCTTACTACAACTTAAAATTATTCATGTAATTATCTGGTTGATGTCAGACTCCTATTTTAAATTATGTCCTCTACACTGTGTCTGTTTTTGACTACTAGAATGTATCCTTAGTCTGGTATAAGTTTTTGTCAAGAGAATAAGCTTGAATGAAAGAAGACACATCACTTGAGGGGCCATCTTACTTATTAAATGTAAATAAATCTCATGGGGAAAAGGGTTTCAGGGAACTTCTCTGTGTTGCTTTACAAATATTGCCCTTTGTCACTTTGTAGGCCACAAAGACTGCCTGGAGGAGAGATTGTCAAACTTCCTTGGAACAGGGACCTTCCTGGAAGAAATATTTGAAATCTAGTTTTGATACCTCAGAAAGTCTAATGGTAAGAAATTCTATGGCATAGATGCCCCCTTGGGTAAAGGAAGAGTCCAGATCAGCTCACGTCCTAGAGCCCTTGTGGTGGTCCTCAGCTCTACCAGAATCAACAGCCCTTGGATATAATACCTGTGCACACTGTGAGATGGAACTCATAGCTAATATAACTGACCTGTACTAAATTGATCCAAGAAAACTTATTTGGTGGTCGTAATTGAAAATAACAAAGTATGATAAAATATACATTTAAACATAACCAAATGTTAACTACAATTGGAGGCAAAAACATGCCTTTTGAGGGCAGTGTTAGGGATTTGGTGGGGATTCAGAAGAGTTTCTGGGGTTCCAGAAATCTGCCAAAGTATAGAGAAGATAGTTTTTTAAACCGTGAAGGAGTGACATAGTTCATAATGGTCAAAATAAGGAATGGTGTAGAAGAAATTATCATGGATAAAGCCACACTTGGTGATTTAATTCTTTCTTGATCCCTTCCTTGTTTCTCTTAGTCTTTCAAGTAGTCATCAAGTTGCCACAGATTTTGCCAAGGGTGAATGTTATTTTCTGTAGTACTCCTGACTTACAGAACTGTGCATTCCCAACCCACTATCTGGATAGAGAATGTATACAAAGATACTGTTTAGAACTTAGTAAAACCATGAAGCTCAGAAGGTTAGCGTAAGTATTAAAATATAATTTGAAGTCATTTTAAAAGCATGATACAACTACAAACTTATCAAAACCAATAAAATACAATAAAATTGTACCTAAGTTTTGCACACATCATCATGATATTGTACAATTACATACAAAAAAGGGAAATAAAAGTTTGTGAATAAATTGTAAAATAAGACAGGGGGATATTCATAATTAATTGTAGTTTGCAAAGCTTTCTTTTAATGGGTCCTTAGGGGTACATTTTATTCCTGCTTAGAGCTACAGCTGTGTCTAAATAAAAGTGGAGAATTATTTAGCTAATTGATTAATGGGAACTATAAAAACAATAGAAATTCAGGACCCTGAATAAGGGTAGTCCTGAATGTGGGTACAGCGGTTATTATCTCTGTATTTAGAAATACAGGACTCAAAGCACATGACACTAAAAGATCCTCCCCCAATTTATCACATCTTTGAAGATAAAGAATTATCTCCAGAACAGGTCTGCAGAACAGGCATGGTTGTTACTTCAGTAAGAATTAAATGAACACCTATTATGTATGAGTTACTGGGCAAGATATAAAGATGAATGAGATACAGCGGCAGAGAGCACAGTCTCTTCATGCAGGAAAAGATACGTTAGCACATACTTAAAATACTCTCATGTTCTGAACCCAGGAAGTACTCATACTGGCTTTGAAAGCCCAAAGCAGAATGCCCTTTATGAGAACTCGAAAGAGAGCATTAGAGTTGTTCCCAATTCTGTTCTGGCCTGTCTGTTTCTCCAGGTAACTGCATTGACCACCAAGCTTTCTTTGTATTGCTTGATAAATCTGTCTCTCTTTCTTAAGTCTCCCTCTTCAGCCTGCAGCCCCTCATCCATCTGCTCCCTCAACTTCTCCTTCGGAGAATCACAAATACCTCAAAACGTCTCCCTCCTCCAACCCCACTGCCATGCTTACTCATCAACCAGAATGATCTTTCAAAAACACAAATCTTATTTTGATGCCCCATGAAAACATACTGATTGAGGCTTTCTCACAATCCTAAAATAAATTCCGACATCTTCCACACGTCTCAGGTCCCGTGTGAGGCAGCCACAGCCGCCTCTCCTCGTCAAGAACCCTCATCTCTCACACTGAAGAGTAGGCATGACTGCCTTTGTGCCAAGGGGAGACAATGCCTCTCTCTCCCGAGGCCCTCGGCTATACAAACATCCTTGAAAACAGAGACTGGAAAAACGGTATCCCGTAAGCACAGACACGACAAAACTCGAGACTGCCCCGAAGAATCGAGTGTCAGCTCTTCTTATATTAAGCTATTTCTCCATCGTACACAGCCCACCCATATCATATGAATTATCTATAACATTCCAATTCTTACCAGGCTTCTTTTTGGCTCTAAGATTTCAGTCCCACAATTCCTTCTGACTGGAGCATCTCTGGCCTGCTTGACCCCTGCTCATTCATGAATCTCAGCTTAAACATCACCTGCTCGGGGAGGTGTCGCTTGGCCCCATCCTCACCTCCCCACCACCCAACTTCCCTTCCCCAGTGCACAGCATCCTTGTACTCCGTATAGCAGCCTTACCTACATTTCCTGCTCTCTTATAAATTCCTCAAGAATAGGGCTATGGCTTCTTTATTTTCTAATTGTAGCAAAATTTCTGAAACATAGTAGTTATTCAATACTCAGTCAAACAAACAGCAGCCAGAAACAGTAAACGGGTGGGGGTGGGGTCCCAGGCGGAGTGGCCCATGTGAGCCGACTAGCACCAGTACCTCTCTGATGGTTCTGTCTACAAGAAGCTCTTCTCTGTGTCCTACTGCTTTGCTTTCAGAGCTTCATTGCAATTTACTCATGCTTGTTCCCAGCTCACCACGGGCCTGTCTCGCCAGACTGTAAGTGCCTGTGCACAGAAGCCACATGTAAGTGGTCCTCTGTATCTCCAGGGCCTAGCAGAGGGTGGCGTACAGCTGCCGTGTACCACATATTCTCTGAAGGATAATGGAATTAGTAGAAAGAAAGAAGGAAAGAAGAAATGAAGGCAGGAAGGGTGGAAAGGAGAATACGGGAAAGGAGGGCGATATCAGAGCACAAACACCGATAAAAGGAAAAAAGGAAGAGAAAGATCTGCTCAGAGCTGTTTGTCGGATGAGCTAAGCAGGAAGCAGGCATTTGAGGAAAAGGAAGTGGATCTGGAGAGAACCATGAAATGGACAGAAAGTGGGTGAGGTTGTGTACTGCACGGCCTCTGCATCGTGAGGACACAGGTTGGAGGAACTGAGATTAAAGGGGAGGTGAGTGATTGGGTCCCTAGGACCCAGATGCAGTCTAAGGAGACCCTGGAGATGGACACGGCAAAGCGTGAGCAGAAGTGGGGCAAAGAGGGTGGCTTGACTACTACGTTTCTTATATGAGAATCAGCTGACCTTGAAACACCCACATCTTTTGTCTATTTCCATTTTTGTAAGTAAATTTCCCTGCTTTTGCATGCATGTGTGTGTGTGTGTGTGTGTGTGACCGTGTGCATTGGAAATTCAACCAACATTACTCCCTCCTTGGGGCCCATTTTTCTCTTATGTTCATTTTAATTCAGGCTTGTTTTGGGGACCCAAATAGAAAGTTTAGTATTCATGTCTGGAGTTTAACTCTCTGCACTTTGAAGTAGCTATTTGCCATGTTCTCTATCAAGACATTTGTAGAAATGAAGTCGAGATATAGTCATTATTGCATCAAAGTTTGCATATTGGTTAGCTTTTGCATGTGATTAGGAAAGAAACATATATTTAGTTGCTCCCAAATAAACTGCAAATAAAATGCTTACAATCAAATTAAATGAAACATAGAATATTTATTTTGACATTTTATGAATTCTAGACCCAACTGATCATTTAGATAATTTGTGTAATACATTCTTATCTGCATAGAGCTAAGCTTCACTGCTTTAAACAAGTAGATTCCTAAATAGAGTTTATAATTTAGTTTTGTAATTCACCGTAGTCCTTCTAAATGTGGTGTTTGGGGAAAGGAAGTCATGATAAGACTGTCATTGTTACCATATATTTCAAAGCCATTAGAATTACATCAGGTCGATAAAGGTAATAAAAGTGGCTATAACCTCACTGGTCATCATTAAAAATGAAATGAGCAAAAGTTGAAACTCACATTTCTAAATATTTCAGCGAGTCATAGACTTTGGCTGTTTTTCACATTGTCTGTCTACTCAGGGTCCCTACAGTGAACAGTAGCGGTTGCACTTCGGGCCGTTGCCAGAGAATTAATGTTCTTCAACTATGCTACCTGCATAGATGTAATTTTCATGGCAGCTTACTGTTCCCCAGTGTTATACATGATGCCCACAGTTGGCAGGAGGAGCATCTCAGACCCATCGCCACGAGCCGCTGGCATCTCAACAAGGAAAACCATGAGCGGAAACACAGACAACGCATTCGCTAGCTCACTGCAAAGGCCATTCACTTAGGCTTCGAGTCATTTTTTAGAAGTAGTATAGTTGGGCTGAACCACCCTCTTGTCTCATACGCAGCCTCAAACCTTCTGGTGATGGTAAATTTCAGTCCTGAAATGGAATATGATTCCAAACCATCTGACAGTTGAGAAAGTAAAATGAAACTGGTTAACCAACTAAACTATTAAATATAAATACTATGTAAACATGTGAAAACTGGATCTACAAGATACAACTTTCTGAAACTCAGTTACTATAGTTTTCCTAGAATAACCTTATAAAGCAAATTACTCTTAGGTTCAGTATTTACTGTGACAGAAAATATTATAAGCAGAATTATCCACAAATCATATATCTTCTTCATAAAATATTACTAGATATAAATAATCCTTGTGGCATAGTTTGCTATTACTTTTATTTTGGCCATTTGTATCAAAGGATATTATTTCACCATATGAGGCACCAAGGAAATTTGCTTAAGGGAAAATACAGTGCCAAGTAAGAAAGAAAGTCCAGGCAACAATACTTCTTTTCATATTATAATAGTGTCAGCTTGTCTCCAAAGCAGGAACATTTTTGATGTGCACAATATTCTCAAATTTTGCCATGAGTCAGTTTATAGTGACAGGATAACTTGGGCAAGGATATCAGCAATGTCCAAAGTTAGGTAAGAACAAAAACCTAAAAAAGAAAATCCTAGAAAAGGTTAAAATAAAAAACAGTTATTTTGTCTCTATGGGAAAATTGTCAAAAGACGTAAACAGGCAATTTATAAAAGGGAAACCCCAGCAGAATACCATGATATGCAAAGATGCCCAAACTCATTAGTATTTAGAAAAATGCAAATGAGGAGAACAATGTACTATCACTTTGCACTTACTACC